AATGGGCGAGAGAACGGTCTGCGCCCGCAGCCGGAATACAAACGTCCGGTCAAGCGTCCGCCCGCATCCGCCGATCGATGTCCGCCCACTACAGGTGTTATTACTCCGCTATTAGAGACGGCGCAGCGGCGGTGGCGGCGGCGGTGGCGGCGACGGCAGACACGACCCCTAAGGACACCGACGCCCGGCCCCTCCGAACCCCCTACCGGCTGAGGAGGCTCAGGGCATCAATTGATGTCGCTGCAGTGGCTCTGGCCGAGAGGTTCCAGGGTTCGAGTCCCGACGGTGGAAGGATTTTCGACATTAGCTACGAAACTAACGACGAGGATTGAGATCGGATGGAATGAGGCAGAGAGGTTGCAATGATAGGGGCGACGAAGGAAGGGATGTGGCTAGTAGGATGGAGAAGGTCGTCATTGAATCGGTGGCACGACTAGAAAACAAGAATAAGTTAAAACATTTTTTTCCTTAATATTTACGAAACGCGTATTTTAAAGTTTTTAGTTCAATAGTTGTCGACTATTATGGACGAGATGCCTCAGAGCGTATAGCGAATCAGCGCTTCAGTATAAAGGGTCGCGGGTTCGAGTCCCGCCTTGGACATGGTTATTTGTCCCTCGTCTCTCATTAACGTTATCGCGTTACCAGAAGAGAGGTGCCCGCAAGTGTGTTGGTGTCAAATGTATGGTAGAATATGCGTCCCATCCAGACGTAAAGTGTAATTGGCTGTTGGTTGGATAAAGAACTAGAAAAAAGCTGAATAGTAGTTCTCGTGTGAAGAGATCGAATATTTCGTACTTGCGGGCGTGTCAACTCGTGTAGTAGTTAGTACGTAAGCAGTGTGCGTGCTACTTTTGGGATAATAATTTTGTGTAGTTTTGTTGTGCAGGGTTTTTACTGCTGCAGGACATTACTTGTAAATAGTTCACATTCTCCATTTTATCAAGTTAATTCAGTTGTTAAGAGTTAGGTTTATTTGTTCATATCAGCGAAATATCCATTGCCTTTCAAGCAGATTGTTTTAAACATGGGTTCAACGGTATACGCCTGCTTTGTAGCAGTGTGGATAGAGAATAAAATCTAGAATCTGAAAAGGGATTCTTACCTTGATGAAACAATGTTGTCGATGTAAGTGAATTTGTTTGTAGAGTTTGTTCAGACATCAACGACCAACCCGATCGCCATTCCGGAAGTGCTTACCCTTGCTGCTGCCGTAAGCACGACACGTAACATCCCCCGATCATTTTCTTCGCCACTTTCCATGCAAATTTTCTTTTCACAACTAGTTGTTAAGTAAACAAAGACGCGTTCTCGAAAACTTTTCGCTTAGCATCAGAAAAGTGAGGCATGAGGTATCGCTTAAACCGATTTGAACAGCGAGGCCGAAACTTCTACGGATTTTTTAGTCCGTCTGTACTTCTTTTAAGATAAAGACCTTTTCTCCCACTTCCTTCTCTTTGTTCCGAAATCCGAAGATAAATCTTCGTAAGGC